TCAATGAATGAGTATAGGAGCTATAGATACTTCGAATACAATATAAATTAATAAATAACGTGATTCGTAATATTGATTAAATATATTTGTAAATAAGATGTAAATGATTGTTATATGTATGACTGTATGAGGCATTAGCAAATTGTGTTTGATGGAAAATAACAAAATATGTTCTAAATATGTTTCATTCTAAAAATGAAGAAAATTTACAAATTATTTTATGTTAGAAATTCATAACAATAATTCAGATTTTTTCTTTTTAAATGTAACATTTGAAAATAAAAAACAAAATTCCTCATAAGTTTGTCTAATTTATGGGAAAAATATATCTACTGGAAAGTCAAATTGAATTTTTATGAGCGTCTGAATTTCGAATTTTTACAACGTAGGACATTCATTATTTACACAATCATATATCATTTATCTTATTTTGCTGTAATTAAAAAAATGAATAGCTGTATATAATTTTAATAATGTACACCATATTATATATATTTTATCAATTCCTATAACACTTTCACTTTTTCTGAGCTGTTTACGGACATTTTCAATTATTTTTAATTTTTTTCTATTACCTATCAATTTGTTATTAAATTTGTTGGATCAAGAAGCGTGACAATTTAATACAAAGCGTCTGATATATATTGTTACAATAGCAATTGAAAAATGAATAAATGTATTATTGTACATACCATGTAGGTCAATTTTTTTAAAATTTTATTAAACATTCGAATTTTAAAAAAAATTGTCAAATCGTCAAATTTTAAATTATTTTGTAGTTAAAAATATAATTATCATAGGCTGACTCCCGTCGTAGCTCAGATTTGTTTTCCTTTTGCAATGATATTATATCATCGGATTTTAATTTACAATTCAGTATAATGGCTCACTTGTACAATAGACCATCTGTACAGTAGAGCGACACCCACTTGCCTACCTTTTTTTAATCATACAGTTATGCTAATTTTTTAATTTTTTTTTATTTTAATTTTGTATATGCAATATACAATCTGTACCCTGAGGCACAATATGAATACGGGCTACATTACAATGACATGAGTGAGTTGTTGGAAGAAGCCACCAAGTAGTGAAACTTCCTATTAATTTTTTTTTTATAACTACTTTAACCATCGTTTTTTAGTTGTTTAGGAGATCTCTGCACCATTTTCTTTTTAATTGTTGGTGAGGATTACCAGGAATTTCGTTTGATGCTAATTCACGGATTAATTGACTTGTGTGGGCTATGAGACGATCACGAAAACGCTTATAGAAGTGTTTTGCTTCTTTTTGGATGGTTTTTATTATGCTAATTTAAATATAAAAAAATTCGTCTTGAATATCAAATCGCTAATTTGATAGAAGAATCGTCTATAAAATGCAAAAAAAAAATTGTTTAAATCGTACTTTTTCCAGCTGATTTGTGACAAGGTAATAAGGACTAGTAATAAGAATACTAATTATAACATCGAAATATAAAATAATATTATTCATTGACAGAATTATTATTTTCGTATCGACGGATTTGGCTATTTATAACCCGTGCGTGGCTGCGATAGACAACCAGTTTTGGCCTATGGTGCAGTACGGCTGCATATGCACGCGGGGTCGTAGTAGAAGTACTATTTCAGAACGCTGCTGCCGTTGTAGTCGTCCTAGCAGTACATGAAACATAAAACATGCCAAAAACATAGTTCTCAGGCCTCGTTGATCGTAGAAACATGGTTTTGGTATCAAAATAATCACGAGAAGTTGTACTAAATATTCTTGAAATAAATTTTACTAATGCAGTAATGCCTAATACTAAAATTAATTACTTTATTCACAATGTAATTGTAATACCACCAAAAATACACTTACTATATGGTATTATGGGCTGACTGACCGTCTTCGCTCAGAATCGTTTTTCTTATACAATGATATTGTATCATTGGATTCAAATTTAACACAATCCATTACAGTGACTCACTTGTAATCTACTGTACAGCAGAGCGACATCCACTTACCCGCTTTTTTTAAAGATATTTCTACATCGTATCTACCTACTAAATGCATATGCACCAGGAAAACTGGTCCAATAAGCAACAATAGTTTTTTATAACAATTTATTTATTTGTATAATAACGTCAACAGTAACTTTATACTAAGTACATAACTTAAATTATAATTTATAAAATATAAAATACAATTAATATTTAAGATTACAATTTACAACATAATATCAGCGGGCTCGTTGTTAAAGATGCATAGGGTAGTTACTAGTTACATCCGTAAAGTGCTAAACGAGAAGGAATAACGAAATTATGTAGTATTTAAAAATGCCAGTGAAATGTTCAATGTTTTCCTATGGGCTATGACTATGAGTATTCTTTTCTGAGATACCAATACAAAATTTAAATACATTTTCCCCACTTTTAAAAAAAAATTTAATAGAGATTTTTTTTTTTTTGAAAGAGAAAAATTAAGTGGTTTCAGTTAATAATAAAATAGAATTTTATTTTTTGTCACTATACAGATTAAATAATCGTAGAAACTTCAAAATTGGTATTTTATTTATTATAATTGAGAATTTCTGTAAAATGCTAATTGGAAATGCCAGTATTCGGATGGTATTCATTTCCCTCCTTCCACACAATTAGTGCTAGTTATAAATAAATATAAATACAAAAACAAAAACAACAAATAACCAAAAGTTATAAAAATAACAATAATATATCGGCACTAGACAATTGACTACCCTAGCGAGTATCGATTTTCATCACGAATCATTCACGATTAACTCGTCGTTGTAATAAGTTATAACCTACGCATAGCTACGTAGATTTAGTTGATTGTTTTTGAATTGTATTTGATTGTTATTTAAAATGGAACACGATGGATTTGTATACGTCAATAATGGCCGCAAAAATGGAATCACGTAAGTATTTACATATTATGTTAAATAAATTTTAATAATTTATAACTAATTACTAGTTCAACTATTTTATATTAATAAGTCGATAATAATAATATATTAAAGTTTTTTTTTTTTAATTCTAACTCTCGTTTCACTATTTTTATTTAGCATTTTATATTGAGTATAACAAGACTATATTATAATAAATGTAAATTTGTTTTAAAATTCTGAGCGAATCGATGAATGTATTGATTTTACAATGTTGTATGTTTTTATTTTTTGTTTGTGTCTTTTCTGATAAGAAAGTCGAAAGTGAATATAGTTGGTACTTTAAATTCTTAATAATTTTCAAATGTGCAGTGAAAAACGAAAGGAAAATTAAGAAAAAACAGGAATTTTTACGCAAATTCATTTTCGAAAAAATAGGTTTTTTTATTTGGTGTAACTCTAAAACAAATGACCGGATATTCAATGATTTACTGGTTATTTATATTAGCATTTTCTATATTATACGGACATACGGTACAATTTCCAAATATTTTGATTTGTTTTGAACTGTTTACGGGCATATTGAGTTTCCAATATTTTTAGTTTTTTTTTCTATGAATGTCAATAAAATTTTATTTTTTGTGTAAAAAAACTAGAAAATTTAATGTCAGGTTCCTCATAATTGTTGTTAGTGAAAATTAAATAAAAAGTTAATCGTAAATCAATAATAATTTTTTATGAGCATTTAAAGTTCAAATTTTGACAAAATACGTAAAAATCACGAAAATGTGCAAATATTTTATAATATTAATTCAACTTATCGGCTACCTACCGTATTAATAATAAGAAATAACAATATAAATATAATATAATAAATATTAACACTGACAAATCGTTTCAGCTCAGAATCGTTTTTCGTATACAATGATATTATTGATATTATGTCATTGAATTCAAATTTAAATATTTAATAGCATTCATTAAACAGTGACCCACTTGAAACCTGCTGTACAGTAGCAGAGTGACATCCACATAACCACCTACTGTACAGCAAAGCGATATCCACTTACCAGCCCTTTTTTTTATAATCAAAGATGTCAGATGGATATTAAATAAATTAAATTTTTACAAATACACGTGATTGTGAATTAACAACTTGATGAAACTAGTAGTAATTGTTTAATAGTGTGTCAAATAATATTTTATTATATTTTGCATAACATCTATATACATTTATATAATCATATAAAACAATTGTATTGTTAAAAAATTACTGACCACCACATGTGTTGTTCCTACTTCAACACTACTGTTAATATGACAGTTTTTCATTTAACAAGTAAATTATATTAGTATATTACCTAATATAATGTACAGTGGCGGCTATCCTCATAAAAATATTAAAACTTATACCACCTTCCAATATTTATTAGAAAATAAAAATTACGAATATCAGTGGGTATTGGTTCACATATTTTTCCAATTGTGGGGTGTTATTTAAACTGTGTGATAATTTAAAAAAAAAATATACAACACTATATTATAAATTAGTTACAAAATTAATTATACTTATAACCTATTACTTTTTTTTTTTTTAAGGCAATATTTACAATCTATACAACAAGTAGTACAATAAGTAAATTTGATAATAAGGTAGTATAATACATGACTTGAATGACTTGAGGGGGGAAAACCGTCCATCAACAGTACCTCCTAATAATGATGGGTTCTCAATGGAGACCGTTTTTTTTTTTTTAACCTATTACTTTAAAGTTTAAAACAAGAACAACTAAATCAAAAACTATACCTTATAATACTATACAATATTGTATATATTATATAAAAAATAATGATGATGATAATATAATAATATTATAGTATCATAATTTCAAAAGTTTAGGTTAGTCATAGTTTAGTTTAAAATTGAGATATAATAAATTACTTCAAGGAAGAATTTCCTATAGGCAATATAGAGCAGTAAATAATATAATATACTATATTATATTATTACTATGTACATTTCTATGCTACTTTTATAAATTCTTTATATATTTATGACTAAGCAATATAACAATATAACAAAATTACATAACATAATTAATCATAACATATTCATCTGAAAACAATTTATTCCAGAACTTGTATTTAGTATTGTTTTGTTTTAATTATAAGCCATAGTATGATAAAAAATTACACAAGTACCCAACATCCATCCAACCACCTACCCACCCACCAAATTTTGTATGTGTTGCTCAAGCAACACATCCACCATAGGATAGCCGCCACTGAATTAATGTAGATTAGAATAGTAGGTATACATAATTATATATTGAAAATTATAAATAACATTTAATTGATGCATTAATAAAATTTATTTGGTTAATTATTCATATCATAGGTATAATAGATAAATATTATAATTTGTACCTATAGTGTAAATTTCTTCTAATTTTTTTTTTAGTTATTTTAAATGTAACAAAGCGCAATCTCATTTTTGTATGGGATCCATTAAAAAATCAATAGATGGAACCATAAGTATTGTAAAAAGACATAATGGTCATGCAAGAGAACCAGACAACACAATTGTTGTAAATAACTTTAGAAATGTATTAAAACATCGGGCAGCAACAGAGAATGCAATTCTAAAAAATATATATGATGAAGAAGCGAGAAGGTAGGTACCTAACTACTATATAATTATAATCTATAATAATAATCTTAATATCTATAATTACATTTATAAACACTAATTAAAAACAATAAATATTATATATTAATTGATTCTATAGAGACATGGTAGCAGCTGCTCTTTACCCGTGGTCAACAGCTGAATCAATTATGCGTTTGGCCAGGAGAAATTCCCTACCAAGATTACCTGCAAACTTGAGGGCGCTGGCAACATTATTTGAAGATGGCCAGTTACAGAGATTTGGGTGTTGTGATGCTGGTCTTTTTAAAGGATGTATCCAGGATATAGAAAATAAAACAAGTGTTATTTTTGCATGTCCGCAATTGATTAGATCTGTCCTAGAAAATAATATTCAAGAAGTCCATGCAGATGCTACTTTCAAAGTTGTCCCTGCAAATATGGGGTATCAGTTATTAACTTTGCATTGTATGATTCAAAACTATGTAAGTTTTTTTAAAAGTTTATTTTCAAAAATGAAATATTATAGGTTATAACCCAATGGCCAATAAAAATGAATAAATAATATATAATTAATTAACAATAAACTGTTATAATAAACTGTTAAATAGGTATAATTTAAATCAAATACCACAAAAATTAATTTCTAATATTGAAAGTAGAGTAGCCACCTATTTCAAAAAAATCAGTCTTTTAATCTTGACATTATACTTTTATAGAATTATAGTGTGTGAAATGTGTATAATTTATATATATTACATTACATAATGAATTAGACCTACGTAAAATAAATAAATTTTCATGGATTGAGATTTTTAGATTTCTTCAATAGTGATAGTAAAACTTTAACATGTTTAGTCTATACCTATCATATACGTCCTTATGGAAAAGAAGACACGGAACTCCTATGAATGTGTTTTGCGGTTCATAAAAAACAATTTACTGCCAACATTGAGGCCAGATGTTATTATTACGGATTATGAAACTGCTCTAAGAGATGTCTTAGAATCAACATTTCCAGGAGCCCGATCTGTTGGTTGTTGGTTCCATCATAATCAAGTAAACAATAATTAGTAATTAATTATGTACCTATCTACTTACTATGACTTCCTAATTTGATTTGTTTTTTTTTACAAAGGCCGTGTGGAAAAAAATGAAGAACCTGAACTACTTAAATTATATTAATAATAATGAAAATGCCTTAAAATCTGTACGATTGTTGATGTGCCTTCCTTTATTACCAGCTCATAGTATTGAAAATGGATTTCTATTGATTATGGCATTTGCCCGAAACCATGCAGTTCATTTAGACAATTTGTTTAATTATTATCAAAGGTAATTAGTACATCAATATAACTACAATGTATAATATATATTTAATATACCTACACTCAAACTATTAAAAATAATACATAATATATATATATATATATAATATATATAGTATATACAAAGATATGTTGTATATATAGGATAAAATACAAAGAAAAAAATTATAATTTAAACTGATATTAAACTACTACTATCTAAAAATATAAAAATTATATCCTTATAACTAAAAATATTATATTTCAAACTATCATATTTTATTTTATATACCTACTTAGATATTGGTTAAGGAACGTTGGTCCAGAAATTGTTTCTGTGAATGGACTACCACGCAGAACCAACAACAATATAGAAAGCTTTCACAACGCTTTAAGAATGAAATTTTCAGTTAACCACCCAAGTTTATGGATATTTTTGGGTGAGAGGAGTTATGTATAGTGATTGAATTAGTTACCTATATTAAATTATGTTAAATTTCATCAGTCTGATAAAATGTAGGTATAATGATGCTTTTAATTTATTTATTTCAGACCATTTAACTCACTTGAATAAAAATTACCACGTCATCGTAAATCAACTCAACAATAACCTAGTTCCAACAAGGCATTTACGGATTAAGTTTTTGGTAAATTCAAGAAAAATAAAAACTGCTTCTGAGCAGTTAGATTTAGGCCTAATATCTATTTGGCAATTCCTTCAACGCTGTTCTTATGCAAGTGCTGCATATGAACAAAGACAAAGAAATTGGGACCTAAATAATGTCGAAGATGCAGAGGAACCAATTTTAGATGATCCACAAATAAATATACCACTGGTTATGCTACATGAGCCAATGGATAACATTCCTATGCCAGTACCACAGGAGAGGGAAGTAGCCGAATTGCCTTTAGATGCTAATAATGATCCACAAGCTGCAGAAAATAGGTCATTATGTATGGTGTGTATTGAGGGAACATTGGGACACAATGAAACAAAATATATAGTTATTCCATGTGGACATGCTTGGATATGCCACAACTGTATGATTCAGTTATCAACAGGACATAATGCTGTTTGTCCAATATGTCGTACTGATCAGGTGTCTTTTCAGCGTATTTTCTTTTCTTAATTTTTTTCTGGCTGCTTTTGTTGATTTTTTTAAATTTATTTTAAATACAGAATATATATGTTTATTTAATCTCTAACATTCCATTATATGTATAAAATACATTCTATTATTCAACTGGGTGAAATTTAAAAATATTTAAAATAAGTACCTACTCTGTATAAGTATAAATATAATAAATTACTTATTATAAGTATAATTGTAAATTAAAAATAAAACAATATATAATACTGTTAACTTCTCTAAGGGAAATAACGTCAAAAATCTAGCGCCTTATGAATACCACGTTCTCATTGGCCAATTTCAAATGTCCAGCTTTTTTTTTATCATTTATCAATTAGGATTTAAATTATTTGTTTAAATATTAAACATTATAATATAATATTATTTAATTAACAAATAAAAAGAACTATTTAGTAGGAATAGTTTAACTAATTAATAAATTAAAATATAATGAACTATGATATGTTCATAATTCAATAATACTATATTATACTATATTATGTAACTATATTATAGAGTGAACATTTCTTCCTGGACTAAATGTATTATACTTAGTCCAGTAAGTACTAGATTGTCTAGGTTCTTCCTAACGTAGACACCAAACCTACTTAAATGTTTTAATATCAATTAAAAGTTCATGCTCTAACAATAATATATGTACTTATTGTTGGTTTTTTTTTTTTGGTTAATAAATCCAATTAAAGAAATAGGTAGATGTATCTTCACATGAATGGTGCAAAAAAAATTTTTTGATTTGTTAATAATTCATGAGAACAATTTTAGAAAAATTAAAAAAAAATTATTATGCGATTTTCAAGTTTTGAGTTGAACAATATACAATATAACAGTGGTGCACTTATGTACTAGGTACCGATATTATTAATTATTATTAGCATTTGATAATGTTATATTTTTAGTTTATACACTAATGTTATTGTTTCCTGAATATTATTTTTTAACCCCACCCACTATTTAAAAAAAGTTATTTCTGATCAAGTAAACAATATTTGCACTATATTAGATTATTTAAATTAGGTAGGTACTAAGGCTTTGGGTAATGTGGTAGTCTAGTCCATTGATTATTGAGAAGCTTTGTTATTATTTTCAATTTTCAATTTGTATAATTCATTATTACTACACTTACATCATCGGTGGTCTGCATATAATATTTGTTTACACATTTATTAAAGGAGTAAACTTATTATTAATAGCACTATATAATTATGTGTATTTAATAATATGGTATAATCAATCAAATTATGAAATTCTCAACTTCATTTACATCATTTATATTTGCTCTAAGAATTGTGGTCTTTTCATTGATATTAGATATTTCATTTGATAGAACAGCAATAATGTTATTGTTTTTTAAAAACTTGATGAATTCTTTCATTAAGAATACTCAATACAATATAATTGATTATTCAGAAAAGCAGAAAAGCAGAAACAGACAAAAACGACCAATCTAAATACCTACCTAACAAGAATGCAAACAACCACAACTTAAAAATACCTACCCACTAAAAATATTAAGATGCTATAAACACTAACAAGTAACAACTTAAAGTTTAAGTTACAGAGAGAACAGAAACATAACATTTTAGTTTAATATGACAACAATTCAATACAATATTCTTGTTGAATTGTTGACAAATTATTAATTGATTGTCAATTAATACACAATGTGACTTTTTTGTTATCAGTTTGATAGATTTGGATTATAATTTAGAATAAACTTAGTAGGAGCCTATCTATGTTATATGACATCAATCTAATAAACCAAGTATGTACCAAAATGTATAGAAAATGAATTTCTCTACATCATAAAATAAACAGTTATTAATGTAATATAACAAATTGTTTAATTGTTTGTCAAATAAAATAAAACAGGGTTCAAAGTTGTTACCATATCCAATTATAAGAAAATTGAATGGTATATTTTATAATAACTGTTTTTATAAGCTATATAGGAGATTGTAACACCTATAATGTATAAAGTATTATCAGTTTGGTTAAAATTTTTAATTTTGTTAGTACATTTTTATTCATTTAGGAAGTCATGTTTACATTCAGGACAATTGAATCACATTCAGAGCTCAACTAATGTGCCATATGTGGTACCTACAATTGTTTTCCAGCTTTTACACCTCTAAGTACTGCACATAGACATAAGTTTAAGATGTGAGAGGGCCCACCATAGTAAAAAAAAAAAAATACTTTAAGATACCTACCTATGTTAACACTTTTAAATGTCTGTAAATATATTTACATATTTTCAATGATTGTGTAACCCATACCTACCTTTGACTATGAAGGTAGGCATGTATGTATTATTCTTTACTTATCTTAATGTTTGTGTACATAATACTTGCATAGCATTTTAAAACGGTTGAATTAATTTGTTTGGTATACCATATTATTAAATACACATAATTATATAGTGCTATTAATAATAAGTTTACTCCTTTAATAAATGTGTAAAAAAATATTATATGCAGAGGCAGACCACCGATGATGTAAGTGTAGTAATAATGAATTATACAAATTGAAAATTGAAAACAATAACAGAGCTTTCCAATAATCAATGAACTAGAATACCACATTACCCAAAGCCTTAGTACCTAGCTAATTTAAATAATCTAATATAGTTCAAATATTGTTTACTTGACCAGAAATAACTTTTTTTTAATATTAATATTTTTTTAAATAGTTGGTGGGGTTAAAAATAATATTCAGGAAACAATAACATTAGTGTATAAACTAAAAATATAACATTAAACTATTCCTACTATAAATAGTTATTTTTATTTGTTAATTAAATAATATAATATTATAATGATATTTAAATAAATAATTAAAATCCTAATTGATAAATGATAAAAAAAAATAGTCGGAATAGATTGCGTCCGCGGGTTGCGGATAGCGGAACGCCCGGTTCCCCCGAGCCTCGGCTGGGCGCCTTGGCGTCCTCGCACGGGTGAACCTCCGTGGCTCTTGACTAGCGCAAAGCGCTAATATAAGGTCCACGGTTGTAGCCGAAAGGCATCTAAACCCGGGAATCCTCGTGCTCTACCACTGAGCTACCCGACCGCATAGATAAATGACGCTATCTCGAGTTTCACCAACTCTACATAAGTCGGGCTTTGATAGTCATCGCCTCTTTCAGCCCTTGATCTTTTTCGTCGACCATGTTATCAACCAGCCTTATTTCGCGGTTCACTAGACAACTCGCGAGAATACTATCAGCACGGTGATAACAATATCACAGACTGCCAGTTGATAACGCGAACGCAACGACTTCGAACACAACATTATTTTTCCGGATTTCTACGGTCCGGGACTATACTGTCTTTGTATTTATTCTTTCCGGGAGAATACGGTCCGAGAGTATACATTCCGGATTTCTACGGTCCGTGACAATACGGTTCGATTATTTTTGAATTCCGGAATTATACGGTCCGGCATAATACGGTCCGAAAAATATTTTATTCCGGATTTCTACGGTCCGGGACTATACTTATTTTTTCCGGATTAATACGGTCCGTTAGATTATTTTCCGGGATTTTACGGCTCCCCTAAAAGTCTTGTATTTAAAATTCATTCGATTATAATTTATAATATACAATAATTCATTATGTTTGGTGGATTCGCTTCTTTGTATCTCATAAATGTTTACCTATTCACTGATATTATTTAACCCTTGTGTAAATCAGAGCACCCTAATTTCCCAATTTTGAGTATTTAAAGTTCTGTGTACATTTCTACCTAAAACATGTTTTTGTATTTGTTTGTATGCCAATATATTCACACATAATTAAATTTATTGGCACCTTAGAGGCAGCTATTAATTCGAGTTACTATAATACTCCAAGCGTGTTTAGAGCATGAACGGGCGGCGGACGATTTAGCGAAACGTTTCGTGTAGCTAGCTTCTAGTTGGTTCTTAAAAAAATAGGAGGCTTTTATACAGCGTCGAAAAATAAGTCGAATTGTTTAAAAAATACTTGTGCAAACATGCGTGGGACTGTTTACAGTTGGAGCGAGTGGAGCGACCTGTATGGCTGTATACAAAAGTCAAAACGGTGACCATGGCGAGCGGTGTGGTGGAATAAGATATTTTAGTTACGCGACAGTACATGCTCGTATGCTAGTACGTCTGCGGGGTATAGATGGGTTTCCCAAGGAATTACATAACTTATACAGAAGAATATGCCGAACATTGAATTTTATAAAAACATAGATATCTGAATTTACACTATATGAGTGTAATCAAAAACAAATCGTTGCACACAATATTTGTTCTACGGATTGTAAAATAATCATTTCATTCATCTTGCAGTTACGGTGCTATTTGTACGTTTGACATTTTAAAGTAAATTATTGTAGGCAATCAGGGACTAATGGGCTATGAATTATGAATTAAGAACAAATATTCGAAATTCAAGTATATTTATGAAATAAATAATAATTTTTATTTAATCTTATTACTTTTATGAATTATGATAATGATTTTTTTATTTGGTGCTATCAAAAATAATGGTTTAATTTATTTGGTAACCACGGTTATCAATAATTTAATATTTCTTTATGCAACACTAGTTAATCTTTACACAATCATCAAAACCTTACAGGTCCGGTAAATTACAGAGCCGGTAACAAATGTACAGACTGTTATTTGCAACCGGGCCTACGCATCATGATACGTAGGTATTACTAGGTACTGGTCAGACCAGACATTTGATTTTGTTTTATAATTTTATAATATAAATAATTTGTATACAGTGAAGTACTTACCAAGTTTCATTATAATTATGGCTGATAGGGTAAGTTATTTTATACGAAATAAAAATATATTATTTTTACATTATCAATAGCTATTATGCAGCCATCTTAATTATTTAATTATTTAAACTATAAACCTTTTCACGCTGTTCTATGACAAATAGTCAAATACTTATAATAATACTATTATAATAATATGATAGAATTATTTTATTTTATTTTTTATATTTATGT